GGCTCTGTATGACGACGCCAAATCTATACATCGCTTCGTTGAATTCCTATTCGTAGATCAGGCTTCAATCAATTCTCGACTCGTCAGTTTCTGGCGCGGGTAAGTCTCTTAACGGCTGCAAAGTTGAGCTCGTGGCCATTTCCATAGGTGTGACTAACAACTTGCGATAATTTTTCGCCCCAGCGTACAGCCACTTTATGTTCATGTGTGCGCGATCCGAGCATGCAAAAATCTGGAACGCGAACTTTCATGCGCACTCACTTTAGTATCTATCAGAAATCATGCAGAGGACTCGGGGGAAAACTGATGAGCCGGATCCCTCGCAGTGGTAGAATACCGGCGAAAAACGTGTTGTGGCCCGTAGTTAGTACCTGTGCTTCCAAAAGGTTGTATTCTTTAACCCCAATATATCTGACCGCCTTCTGAAAGCATGATTTGAAAACTCAGATACAAACGAGTGGCGATGAGAGCAGATTATCAAAAATTTCTGTCGACGCTGGCAGGGGTTATCTAGAAGTAAACAAGATCCACTTGAGCAACTGGAACCAAAAACCCTGCGACCACGTGCCGAGCAGGTATATAAAAACAATAAGGGATGCGATGAACTTTGATCCGTATATTTGGTCCGCGCCAATACAGCTTAGGACAGACTGATTTACTCTACGTTGGTGATTAATTTCTGAGAACATTAAAAATAAAGAAGCCTGTTGTTCATCATCTCCATAGGCAAATGGGAAATGAGGGTGGATGGCATAGCGAGTTGTGCTAGAAACATATAATGAGATAGGGATGAAAGTGCAGAGGCTATTGTAAAGCATTTGGGAGGATAGCTTCACTGTGAACACTGGCCGCTTGCTTATCTTTAAACTTTCTCGCAGATTGGTTGCATGGGTTACTTGGCTGTTATGGAAGCTTCAACTATATGCTAAAAATAATAAAACGTCCTGCTGGAAGGCATATGCGCCTTGTTAACACACAGGGCCAAAAGATTACAATTAGACGTAGATGGGATTGTCGCTGTTATAAGACAATACTTCAGGTATGACAACGCTACTCACTAGCTGATGAACAAAGTCACCAATTAAAGTTTTAACCCAATCTGCGAACCCCAAGCCGATGTAGAACAACCGCAGAAAATCTAAGTCAGAGTATGCCTTCAGGCCAATAGTGTCCAATTCTCGGAAAAATGTAAAATTGGCATTTGGCAGTGAAGAATAAGTTATTGCAAGCATGCGAAACGTCAAAAAAGTGCAAAATCATTTCCTCTCAAGCCATGAATCTTTCCGGCCTTAGAAGATGGCGCTCGATCACACAAACGATCTGACTAGGGTGGATTTATCGATGTAGGGGGGACCTTTTTGAGGACTTGATTCTAATCTGTAATTTACCAGAGTGCAATAAATGATGCAAACGTTAAAGTAAGAAGATCGCCGCCCCCAGACTGATCTCAGCAACAATTAGAAAGTGACCTATACACTTGCCCTTCTCCAATACCCTAAGTAAAGCATAACGGCAATCAATACTTGCAAGCCAACTACCGCCACCAAATCACGACTTGC